TTTGAACTTTCTGACATGAAATAAAAGGTTTGTTTAAAATCTGTTCTCATGTACAACGGAATAGACTTGCTTTATGACATTGGAGGAATGAAATGCTGCTCTGAGTGCCAGAAATTACATCCAAATTCTGACTTTGCTCCTTTACTTCCTTGCTAAAGACACACATACTTATTCACCAGGAGTTGAAAGGAGAGGAAACCATTGATAGATCCTGATGAAAACTTTAAGTATTTCTGAACTCAGTATGTCTACTCTCATACTCATTCAAACAAACAAACCAAAAAAAAAGTGTATGGTTTGGAAGAATAAAAACCGTCAATTTTAAAGATTCTACATGTTGTAATTTTTTTTTAAGAATTATTTTATTTAACCATCCATTCATTCATTCATTCATTTAAATTTGACAAGAGAATGGGAGAAAGAGAGGGAAAATGAGAAAGCAAACCACCAGGTCCAGGACTGGAATCGTGGTCAGCCATGTGGAAATCCAGCACCCTTAACCACCACGCCACCTGCTGGCCCCTACATGCTGTGCTTTTTTTTTTAACTGCAGTAAAGAAGTTGATAAGCATTAGGATATATTTTCAATTGCTTCTCTTTAGAAAGACAGAATTCTGACCTTCACACTTTCATATACATTGTCAAACATCATTTTAGACTGTATCAGCTAATATAAATTATTTATGTGGCTCACAGGGATATTAATATGCACTCTAATTTTCCCAGGTTGGAACTGTTGTAGAGGAGCCAGCAGGTGGCATAGTGGTTGGGGCTCTGGGCTTCCACATGGGCAACGGCGGTTCACGTCCCAGACCCAGTGGCTTGAAAATCACTCTGGGCATGTGTATATGTGTGTCCAAACTCCAGGAGGAGAATGGAGAAGGAATTGTGGCATGAGCATCCTCCCTCAGGGGTGATTTCTCACTTTCCCTCTCTCTGTCTCTCTGGTAAGTACACACCTTATGGCAAAAACCTTAAAAAAATTGTTAAGATTTATGTAATAAAAGGCAAATATATGACCAGTTAAGTGAAACTATCAAGTCTAATGACATAACTCAAATTAACATTTGATGGCCAGCAGGTGGTGTGGTGGTCAAGGCGCTGGATTCCCACACGGCTGACCGTGGTACGAGTGAAACTGGCAGCTTGCTTTCTCACTTTCTCTTTCTTCCTCCCTGCCTATCCATGGTGACTGCACATGCCTTGTGGCAAATTATAATATAAAAAAATAATAATTATGATAAATAATTCTTTTTTAAATAAAATTAACATTTGAAATGTCACATATCCTCAAATTGTTTTCACATTTTGGGGCTATTTAAAAGGTAAATATATTGTGCATTTTGCCTCTATTCTAATTTAATACATAATGAACATTATGATTTTAAATCCAATTTTATTTTTATAACCAGTTTTATTTCTTCACAGCTTATCCACCTGTAAATGTTTTTCTAAGGTTTATGTCATAGGGTGCATGTGCTTACCTCAGAGAGAAAGTGAGAGGCAGAGAGAGACAGTGAAAGGGAAAATCAGAAATCCCCCCACAGGAGGGATGACCACGCTACCCCTTCTCCTCCATTCTCTTCCCAGGATTTTGGGGATGCACACACGTGCTTCTGGAGTAATTTTCAAGCCACTGGGTCTGGGACTCTAACTGTAGGTGACCATCTAACTTAACCACTACGCCACCTGCTGGCCTCATTGACCTGTAAATTAACAGCAACTTTAAACTATTCCATTCTCTCTCAAATTCATCAAACATATGAGTTTGAAAATATAAAATAGATTTTTAATATAAAGGTAAAACAGTCCTAAAAGTAATAATAAAATCCTTAGTGATAACATTTTTTTAAAGGTAAAATAAATCAGAATGCAGAGCACACGTTAGACATCAGAAAATTGACACAGAGTGAAACAGGGTGAGGTGCTTTCTGTTCTACCACTGCCACTAGCCAGAAGTGACACGCTGGATAAGCCCTTGCAAACTCTAAGCCTCAGTTTCTTTATCTGAAAAATGGCAGCGGGAATGTTAAGGTCCTCTTTGATGTTAATATTACATGATTTTATGATTAAAATGGCAAAGGAAAGAACCATCTAACAACCGGTGAAAAATTACCCTAAATGTTACTTGTTAAAATAGAAGAAATATTTTCAGGGAACAGTCTTCACTGAGAAAAATGAGTAACCTCTGACATTTTCCAATCAACAACACCAGTATTCTGAGGAAACCTTTAGAATCAGAAAACCATGGGTTTGAATCTCAGATCTCTCAGACATTAACAGTTAAGAAACTTTAACCTCTTTGTCAGAGTTCTGGTCTCTTCATCTGTAAATCAGGTAAGTATATTATAAAGTTTTAATTTGCTGTGCAAAGTACGGTATTTGGGAGCAAGAGAAAGAGAGAACAGACTGTTCCTCTTTATGCACCTCATTCTTTTCAATATCAGGTAGCAATTTTGCCTCTCCTTGCAATTTTCTGCCTGGAGCTGCCATTCTGGGTTAATGCCTATACATCTAGCCTCCAAACAAAAATGTCCCTTATTCAAACACAGAGCCCAGGGAGATAACATTCTTGCAGTGAACTCTATCAACTTAACTTAGCCTGAAAATGTGCAATTAAGGAAATATATCAAACCTGTCATTAGCTAAGCAACAGTATTTATCGGAATACTCTGTAATCTAAGGGGGACCTATATAATGTTAGAGATTTTTTTCATAAGCATTTAAGAAGTGAAATAATAATAATGAAAGATTAGAGAGCAATAAAGAAATGCAAGACAGAATTTTTTTAAACTACCATTTACTGACATGTCCCATATGCCAGACACTGGCTACGTATTTCACATTTTACTCATTTGTTCAATCCCTACACAGTTATAAAAGGGAGGTGCTATAATTAGGCCCATTTTATAGATGGACAAAACTTAAACTTGGAAAAGTAAGTTGGGCAAAATCTCCAGCACATTTGGGACAATAATGGATTGATTGTGAACTTAACTTGTCTGGCTCTACAAACCCTAAGTGTCTGATCCAGAGTTCTAAATTATTAAACGCAATTTGTGTGTGGTGTCAGGTATGTACTTTATAAAACAGTGTACTACAATTCAAAATAATGTGCAGAAAAAGACTATTTAACCAAGCTCTATGTTTAAAATATAGTCTTGGCTTCTCATGTTTTGCCACCAAATCCCTTTATTAATGGTGTTAGAGTGAAATAATCCTATTTGAAACCAAAGGACCTAAAGACAGTTATTTTGGTGTTTTTATGGTTTTGTTTGTTTGTTTGTTTGTTTTTAAGATTTTTGCTATAAGGCATGTGCACTCACCGGAGGGAGAATGTGAGAAGTTACCCTCCAAGGGATGGTCACTCTACAATCCCTTCTCCTCCATTCTCCTCTAGGGATTTTGGACACACACATAGAGATTTTTGGCATAAGCACACACACACACATCCAGTGTGTTTTTCAAGCCACAGCGTCCATAATTCAAACTGCAAAGTTGGTTATGTGGAATCCAGTTGCCTTACCCACCCACGCCACCTGCTGGTCCACACATATTCCTTTTGGAAAAGGAACTGTTGCCTGCCATGCCATGGGAGAGGTGGCTAGATCTGGAGCACAGAGATACCAGAACAGCTCCTGAAAGAGTTCGTCTTCCAGAAAAAATAGCAACTTGTACCATCCACAAGTTATTCCTGATGGTATTAATGGATGTTTACTGGGGGATTAACAATTTTTTTTCAGTAATGTACAAGGTCTACTCTAACTAGAAGATTTTGAAAAGTAAAATTAATCTCAATGAGGAAAAAGAGCCAGTATGCTATCATATATATAAATTTAAAATCATAACTTTTTTCATGCTTTCTTTTTTTCATAGGCCTGGCTTTTTCATGCTTTCTTTTCTTATAGGCCCGGTTATTGACAAAGTGTGGTGAGGACAGTTGCCTATAGTGTTCTGGATTTTTATTATAATGACTAAAATGTCAGGAATAAAATTAAAAGTATGTAAGGGGATGATGGCTGCCTGGTCTCCATGTACTTTGAAATATTGGCTCTGACTACTGTCTGTGATAGCAAAAGAGCATTGTACCATTGTCCAAAAAGTCCATTCTCCATGTCATTGGCTATCTTCCTATTGATAACTGATTGTCTTTCTATCTATAACTGAATACATTTGCAGCTGGCTCTCCATACGCACAGATTCTGCCTTTGTGTATTTAACCAACCTCACATGCGACCAAGCCACACCAATTGTTATGGAGAAAGCAGTGTCTCTTTAATAGAGAGATGCTGAAGAAGATATCTATGTGTTTTTCTTTTTCTTCCTTTCTTTTGTTTTTGTTTTTGTTTTATGTTTTTCATAAGAGATGCACACTCTCCAGAGAGACAGAGAGAGGAAAAGTGATAAATCATCCCTCAGGGGAGGGGTGGAAGATGGCCACACCACAATCTCATCTCTTCAATTATTCTCCTGGGATTTTGGGCACGCATGTAAATATACCCAGTATGCCTTTCAAGTTACCAGGTCTAGGACCCATCATCAGCCATGTTTGAGTCTAGGGTCTTAACCAATGTGCCACCTGCTGGCCTTCTATATGTTTTTATTTCCTTTTATATCTGATGCTAAGATTACTTATTCGTAATTTAGGGATGATTGAAAAGTATATGGGAGGACATATGTAGGTTATATAAAATACTACACTGTTTTATATGAGGGACTTGAGCATCTTCAGGTACCCTAGAACGAATCCCTGGCAGATATCAAAATGTAACTACAAAATTGGATTTCTGAGCAGCCTTGTGAACAAGACTAACTCAAAATAGAACTATTAAAACCATACAAATTTAAAATAAAACATATTAATTTTAAAAAATTCAAAAACTGTACAAAGTTACCAATTTGAGGTCTCCAATTCATTAATTAAATGAAATTTGAGTTTGACAACTTGTGGAAACACATGAGAAGAAAAGGAATAGGAAATTTTTTTTTATATAACAGTGTCAAGGAAAAGAGGACATTTTTTTAAAAAGATTAATTTCACATTCAATTTTAAGGAGTCTCGTAATATTGACAGCATGTAGCCTGTAACCAATTTTGAGAGTATGAAATGTCACATTTACAATACACAAAATAAGACTCTGGGGCCTTCTATTAAACAGAGATGTTCAGAAGAGTTGTAGTCTTTCTAAACTTGTTCTGCCGTTTTCCCCAATTCCAAGCTAGAACTCTATGGACAAAACTAATAAAGCAGAAAGATTTCTAGGTAAAGAAGCCTCTGAGGGAGTGTGACATTGGTCCTGAGAAAGACGTAAACTAGCCTAGTGTTCAACTAACTTAATGCTACCGAAAGTCTGAAAGCCTTAGTCTTCTCTGACTAGATCAAGAAGATAATTCTCTTTTCAATTTCATGATTACATAGAAAAATCACTATTCTCTATACTGTAAATTCATACTAAACCATTAAGTATTTTAAAGTGATTTTTAAATCACTTGGTAAAGAAGAGGCCAAAATAGTTAGAAATTTTAGAAATGGAAAAAAGATATATATTAGCATTAATAAAATGAATCAGTGACCCAACTATATGTATTCCCTCAAATAATTAGTTTTGCTCCAGCTGCCAGAATAAACAAATTTTTAAAAGTCAGAAGCTTTCATACTAGAAACTATAGAAAAGGAAAAAAAAATTAAAAAAGCTTTAGACATGTTGTAGTACATCCTTAGAAGAGCCTTCTTCAAAATGTATAGTTATTAAATAAGCAAAGTATAACTGCAGGGAAAACAACCTAAAACTGGTATTAAGTTATATTAGCAGAATCCATTATCTTTATCTTATAATTATCTTTAATAATTCTATTATTTCTAAAGTTTTCCACAAAAGGACATTACAGTTTTTTATTGCAAACATATCTTAAAAAAAAAAAAGTACCCTAATACTGAAGCTATAATATAAATTTTTAATTATTGGCACTAAATTATAAAGCACAATGAAGAACAGTTTATTTAAATAAAAAGAGGATAATATTTCCCTGAGCATTAAATCCAACAGATTTTTTTCTGCATATATCTATAACCAGTGGTGATATTTTATAGGCTAAGTTCTAAACAGATGCAAATGTTTAAAACACGATAAAGCCATGTTTTGCTCAGGAATCCTACTGTTCGCATACCACATGGGTTATTTTACAGCAAATATCAAGCTTCAGGTGACAAAATGCTAAGTTGTGAATTCAGTATTGTCCAGCTCGCTGTTTTTCCTTGCCCTGGTGACTCTGGTGGCACGTTTTGTTGAGAGCTCACGTTGCTTCCACCACTTTTCTTTCCACAGTTGAGTCCACAAGGGTAGAATGCTCATGTCCTTAAGATGCAAGGCCTAGCAAAAAGCCTCCTGCAAATCCACCGGACATCACGATATTCTGCCTGATAAATTCTGTTGCTTCTTTGATTATGTTGTTGATTTCAGGTGCTGCTTTGTTGGCTCGTTTCTTAATCTGTCGTTGGGCTTTGTTTGCATCTTTTTCAGCTCTCTTCCAGTGGATCTGCACACAGCCACTGTGACTGGCAATCTGAAGGAGAAGAAAGCCACCACCTACTGCAGTGGCTGAAAGTTTTCCCACCTTCTGGAACACAAATCCTGCACACCAGCCAGTCACGCCACCCGTTATAATCTGGGTAGCTACTGAGTATTTTTCTACCACAGGTCCCGAACTGTGGCCAAACACTTGATTCCTCCAGTGATGTCTTCTTGCATACTCAGTTAAATCCAACACTTCGTAAGAGTCGTCATCAATTCCATAGTCTTGGGGAGGGAGGTTCTGAGTCGCCATGACACTGCCAGCAGCCAGTTCTGGGGTGGTCCGGAAAAGAGGACATTTAATTATCAAGTATAAAGAAAGGAAGAAACTGCTCTATCGCTCTAAATTCTGGAACCAAGCCTTAGAGACATCCTTGAAGGACAAAAGACACTTCACAAAGATTTCATTATACAGCAGGTAGCAAGCACACTTATGGAAACTGTTATGCCAAGAAATGTCACAGTTTCAATGAAAATGTATGTAAGAGCTAGATATTTTTAATGCTTTCTGGAAATATACCTTGTGGAACTTGGGATGTTTGGGATATATCTCAATTTTTATATTTCTCTACGTTGTTGTAAAACAAACAAACAAGCAAAAACCTATTCTATTCTAAATACTCAATCCATGATAAGCATGCATGTAACCATCACCCAGACCCAAAAGATTCTCCATTCTTTAGCCAACGCTGCATCTTTGGAGTCCTTTTGTCACCAAAGAGACAGGTTTTAAAACTGCATCATTAAATATTGAATTTGATGACCAGCAGATGGCATAATAGTTACATCACTAGACTTCCACGTAGTCAACCAGGGCTCAAGTCCCAGACCTGGTGACTTTAAACCACTCCAGGCGCTGGTGTGCGTGAGTTAAAATCCAAAGAGGAGAAGGGACTGTGGTGTGCCTATACGTGTGATTTCTTGCTTTCTGTCTCTCTGTCTCTCTTGGACTCTCTGGTGAGTGTATGTGTCCTATAGCAAAAACCTTTCTTAAAAAAAAAAAATTGACATTTGTCTTTATTTATTTTTTTTTTCAGAGAGATTTTTACTATAGGGCACTCACCAGAGATCAGAGAGAGAGAGAAAGCAAGAAATCACTCCTCAGGGGTGATGGCCACGCCACAATTCTTTCTCCTCCCTTCTCCTCCTGGTATTCTGGGCATTCGTGCACATGGACCCAGCATGAGTCTCAAGTCGCCAGGTCTGGGACTCAAACTGTGATTGCTCATGTAGGATCCAGCACCTCAACCACTATGTTACCTACTGGCCCCAAGTATTGATATTTGAAAGATGTTCATATTCAGGTCTGTCTATAAAAGGGTTGAAAATCACAGATGAAAAAACTTTGGGGATTATTTGTAAATCCCACTGTTAAAGTTCTGCTTTTAATTATCTGGGGAAATGATCTATCTGAAAGCTGGCAGCCAGGATCTCTTTTTATTGAACCATTACTCCTACCTTAGGCATATTTATTTTCAACAGCCTTTTTACTTCTCTTTGCTGTGCTTTTGCTTTTCTTTAAAAGTCATAGGTATTTGTATTTGAAATTGCCATATGCTATACAACTTTAGTATGTAACTGGAAAAAGGATTTTTTTCTTCTATGAAACAAAACATACTGTAGCAGTGTGTGTGCATTTAGGGAGGAATAAGAAACAAGTGGATAACTAGAGCTACAGAAGACTTTGTTCTTTAGCAGTTCTTAACAGCCATTCTGAAATCCCCTCTTTTTTTTTAATGCCAATGTTCAAATGCCTCCTCCATGGTTACTATGCAGACAGTTTTCTCTGTGTGTTACTTGACTTTAAACAACATACATAGCCAAAGCCTTTTCCTTAGTTGAGGAATAACTTCGGGAGAATTTATTTCCCTGCAGAAGAGCATTAGAGATAGGAAGCTGGGAGAAGTGCTGACACGTTCCATCATATTTCTGGACACATTGCATTTATAGCATGCTATTTTAATCATGTTCATTCCAGCCATTACTTATTGAACATCTATTATGTGCTAACATGATAATCACATAAGTTCTTGGGGGCAACGTTAAGATGAATGCAGCCACGGTAGGTGAGAGAACTAGTAGGACCAAAGAAGAGGAGCTCCACATTTGCAGCTGTCGCCCTAAAGGAGCAAGAGGAAACTCCGCATTCCCAAAGCAGGACATCCATTCAACGGTTTCATTAAGGCAATGCAGTAAGTGGAGAACACCAGTCAGAATCAGCCATTTATTCTAGATAGAGATGATTCAGCCCTGCTCTTGACAGTCTCTCCTTTTCAGGTACTAACAACAAAATCATGAAAACTGCCGTGAGTTACATACTCAAGGAAAAATGAAATTTTGGGATGTTAAAACCTTACATGGAAACAAAAAGAAAAGGAAAAGGAAAAGCAAAACAAAAACAAAAACAAAAACAAAAAACTTAATCTGCTCACTAGTATTTACATTAGCAGATGTGGCTGCTTTCTTTCTTTTTCATTTTTTTTGGGGGGGAGGGAGAGGTTTTTGCTATAGGGTGCACGCGCTCACCACAAAGACAGAGAGAGACAGAGAGATAGAAAGTGAGAAATCACCCCACCAGGGGGGATGGCCACACTGCAATCCCTTCTCCTCCATTCTCCTCTCGGGATCTTGGGCACACACGCACACACACCCAGCGTGAGTTTAAGCCACTGGATCCAGGACTTGAACCGCGGTGGATTACATGGGAGGCCAAAAACATAGCCATTACGCCAACTGCTGGTCCTCGTGGCTGCTTTCTTATTCAAGTGACTTTAATCCTTCAATGTCCTAAACCTTTCAAAGGAGAAAGTAATAACTATCACAGAAAGAAATGTACTTCAGAAACATCAACAGGACCTAAAAAGTAGATTTTATTTGTAGTTTAACAAATGCAAACAACACATTTCTAATTTGTTGGAGACTTTTTACAGGTCCCAATAGTTATTTCTTACATGGACTACTCTTACACTATACATAGCTCTGAAGGTGGTCTCCTGTTTGACCTTGGGCAAGACAACATCACATTCCCTGTTATGTCAAGCTTCAAACGAAAGATGCTTTAATAACTCAACACATTATTATTAAAGTACTTCTTTTCTCTAATACACTTAAAGGGATAAGGAAAAATGAAAGTGACTCTCCAAGAAAATTAGAACTCATTTATACTAGAGAAATGCTGTTAAATCAAGATTGTTTTTGTCAGGTCTCAGAATCTGTCATGGTCCAGGCTGACATTTATCTGATACACTGTCTCAGTATTCTCTCTGAATAATCTGTTTATGGATGCTTCTAGCATGTGGTAATTGCCAGAAGTGTTGTTTAAATACTCATAAGGGCAGAATGATGGCTCGGCAGTCACGCAATGCTCTGTGAGGCTGACCTGCCTACAGAGACTCTGGGTTCACCCCAAGGCCTCCCTCTGCAAACTGGGTGCACATGTCCCTGTAATCCAGGCTGGCAGAGGCTGGGGGATGGATCATGCTATCTGGGCCCTACAGTGAATGCCTATTTCTATAAATGTGTGTCTGTTTGTCTGTCTGTCTGTCTGTCTGCAATAAATTAGGCCATTCCTGTAGCCTAATGCTTAAGGGAGCTGGATCCCGCCTTATTTCAAATCCCAACCCCAGTAGCTTGAAAAACATGCCAGATGCATATGCCCCAAATCCCCATAGGATGGAAATGTGGAAGAAAAGGGATTGCACTGTGGCCATGCCCCAGTGGGGGGTGCTTTCTCTTTCTCTCTCTCCATCTCTCTCTGAGGAGTGCACACACCCTCTAGCAATTAAAAAAATAATAATTTAAAAAGAAATTAACCAATACTCCTAAAACCAAATAATTGAGTCTATTTTCTGTTAATATATTTCTTAAGTCACAACTGAAATGATGTATTTGTTAGGATGCATTTAGCTACAAACAACGAAAAACTCCTATTCAGATTTTTTTTTAAATAAATGCCATTATCTCCTATAATGTGTGATTGTGTCTAGGGTTGTTTAATTCAAAGGTTTAGAAAGAGCATCAAGCAATATGCTGAAAATGGGACACTAGAATGATGAGTCTTGATGATCTTAATCTAGAATCGAGTGTTTTCTATACTATGTCCGTTTCTACACTAATCACTAGCAAGAAGAATGGCAGCAGTTACCTGCAGGGTCAAAGCCAGACCCAGGGCTTGAAAGCCACCACATCACAGTGAAGGAGAAGTGCGGGAAGAGAATGGACTCAGAACAGGCAAACCACTAGTTCCTGCTAGAGTGTTTTATTTACCATATAATAAAATTGTGATATCTATTAATTAAAATTAAGAACTAGACTGAAAAGTTCTGTAAATAATTTTATAAAGAAAAAAATAACTTTAAAAGTAGATCTCTGAAAGAGCTTCCTGCTAATTAAAAAAGAACATTATGAATAAATATATGCCACATTTATAAACTAAATTCTTATTAAAATACATGGTTGGGGGGCTGGCAGGTGGCATAGTGGTTAAGGTGCTGAACTCCCACTTGGCTGACACCTCTGTTCAAGTCCCAGACCTGATGGATTTTTTTTCATTTAATTTTTTTTTTTTTTTTTTTTTTTTTTTTTTTAGGTTTGTGCCATAGGTTTGTGCACTTACCAGAGACAGTCAGCGGGAAAGCAAGAACCTCGCAGGGAGGATGGCCATGCTGTAATCCCTTCTCCTCCATTCTCCTAGGATCATGGGCATGCATGTACAACTGCCCAGCACGATTTCCAAGTCACCAAGTCCAGAACTCAAATCGCAGTGGACCATGTGGGAGTCCAGTGCCTTAACCATCATGCCATCTGCTAGCCCCAAGTCATATTTTTAATTTCATCTTTCCACAAACCTTTTGAAGTCCTCTCATATATCATCTATGTCCCAGACCTCCCTCCTCAACACACCATTTGAATGGGCCCCTGGTGCTTTCATACACCCAAAATTGAACTCAACATCATATATTCCCAAAATCTCTTCTCTGCATTGGTGCTGTATGCTACTGTCTACCTAGCGTCTATACTCCAAATCTGGGAGCCATCCTAGGCATCTATCTCTCTTTCATAGTCTACCTAAAACCTGAAAATACCTGCCTACCTGGATCTCTTACCTACCAAGATCTAAACACACCATTGGCCTTTTTCATCTCCACTCCATACACCAATCATAGGCAATTATCATAACCTGCCTTGGCTACCACAGCCTCCTTACTGGTCTTGCTTTTTCCCTCTCTTGCTCCCCTCAATAATCATATTTTTGCATTACTGGTAGAATAACC